GACGGAGATGACAGACACATGCCACCCTCTTTTCTCATTCATTAAAGAAACAATACATTTAGTTGAAGAGTCTTTTCCTAAAATTTTTTTTCTCTTATAAATTTTTTTTTCTAAAGGCTTGTCAAGGCAATACACTTTTCTACTTAAAAGTAGATATTACAATACATTTCTTTGTCATTTGTGCCTTATTAATTTTATATAAAGCCAGAATTGAAATGGATAATACACAGTGTGCAGTCTCCAGGAGGGGAAGAAAAATCCATGAAGCTTCTTTGAACATGAACTTGAAAAAAAAAAAAGAAAAAGAAAAAGGCTTTAAAACCCAGGTAAAACAAGGGTTTTTGTATAATAGCCTAGGGTCCATATAAAACAAAATGTCGTCTTGAGCATAGCTGGTTCCATTTTGTTTAGTCCCCATTGATAGGGAACTGGGTGCCTCTTTCTGTCTTTTGCTTTCATATACAAGGAAGCTATATTTAAAGAAAGTGCCTAGTTGACCCTTTCTTCCTTTAGCCCATTTGTTATTCTCCATATCCTCAGTAGAAATAACTTCTTCAGATAGAATCCTTTGTTGTTCTAAAACCATGTCTGCTCAGAACAGGCAATAGTCACTCCATTGCTGCCCCCCCCCCCAGTTTCTACTTAAGTTGGATTAGAGGGGAACTGTCTCTGGGTTGGTGTTGGGGACCCGTTTGCTGGGGATGGGGTAGGCGTGGGGTGCTGGAGGCATGCTAATGCAGGCTTTCTAAAGACGCAGCTTCAGAGCCCCAGAGCTGACATAACCCATTTGAATCTCTAACTCATTTGCAATGATTATAGAAATTGTTGCGTATGCACAGCCTGCCAAACGGCAAACAGGCATTAAAATATTTATCCACCACCTGTGAACAAGACTTCCCAAAAGCTCGCAGAAAAAAAATTCATGCTTACTGTGTTACTCGTCAGAAGGCATCGTTTCCCTCAGCCATTTAACATTCATTACTTCTGAGTTCGTTAGTGCTTTCACTGGGGATAAAGAAAATTTTCTGCAAGACGAAAAGGACGGTGGTTGGTGCCCTCCCAGGAGGCCGTGGGGCTTACCGTGTGCATACGCAGCAGACTCAGTTATCAGATTAACAGGCTCTAACCAGCCCCCAACTCCCCACCTTTCAGATACTGAACGAGAGAGCTGCGAAGGAGCTGGAGCAGTTTCAGATGCGGAATTCGAAACTCCAGCAGGAGAACGAGCAGCACAGTTTGACTTGCGAGCAGCTGTCCCAGGAAAACCAGCAGAAGGCCCTGGAGCTCAAAGTAAACACCGTGTGCCATGTCTGGTCCCTAGCACTTCCGTCCTTCGTACCTGTGAATAACAGGTTTGCCTTTGCCACTGGAGCCCTTGTGCTAGCTCCGCTAAGAGCCTCAGTACAGAGAGGCAGGTGCAAGCCCACAGTGATCGCTTCAGGCCCAGAAGCAGGGAGTCTGATGACTTCCCCGCTCTTACTTATAAAATTGATCAGATGCTTATGCAAATGCTTTCTCAAGCAAGCTCAGATGTTCATCTCTGTAATTAGCCCTGCAAGTAACCAGTTGCCAGGAGCTAGGATCCATTCACTGTGTGCACAATAGAGAACCTGCATTAGATTTCACTGCTTGTGTGGAGAGCTGGGGCGCAGACTGACTCTGCTGGGTATTCCAAAACTGTGGCGGAATCCTGTTTTTCGTACCATTTAATGCGTATTTCAAGCAGTTTTCCTGTTCTCCCTTCCCTCATGAAAGAGGGCTTATGGACTTTGGATCCTCATTTGACACTTAGCATAGTCAGGATTTTTGTTATATTTGGATACCGGGCATACAATGAATGGCTTACTAAGAATAAGGTATTGATGTGAGCGGTGAACAAGAACGTCTTTTTTGTCTTATAGTCTCTTTTGAGAATCTGACGAGCACACACACACACACACACACACACACACACACACACACCATCCCCCACCCTCCATCCACAGTCCCCCACAGCACCCCTACCCCATCCCCACACTCACATGCCCCACAACACACCCCCACAACCACAGCCCCCCCTCACACCTCACTCCCTCACCCTCCACCACGGATCTTGTTTTGAATGCCTACTGCCAAGAGGAGACTTTTCCAGGATTTTTTCTGAGGTCTAACCATGGAGTCTGGATTGATGGCTGTATAATTTATTAGGATACCACATAACTAAAACAGGCTTTAAGTCAGCCAACCTGAACCTTCTAGGGTCTAAGGCTAAGAACACTTAGTAGAGTCTATAGTGAGTTGACCTGAAGCTTGTTCTCTCTAACAATGCAGCAAGTTGGAGCAGACATGAGATGACCACTTAAGGCAGGGTGATATATTAGCCCCTGAGGTGAAATTATGGTAAAAAAATGTTCCACCAAGTCTGTCCTTTGATAACATGAATGAGAATCTGGGAAGATGGATGGCTTTGTTACATCCCTGAATTAATGGGATTATATTTCTAGCAATAACCCAGATAGAATATACATTGCTAATTTTCTCTCTCCCTTCTCAAGAGTTAAGATGATTGAGGAGGAATTCCAAACTGCCTTTCTAGTTACTTTTCTAGTTATTTAAAATGTCAAATTAAAAAAAAAACTAACCTTAAAAATATTTATATTTTGCCTGCATGTATGTCTGTATACCATATGCATGCCTGGTACCCACAGAGACCAAAAGAGGGCACTGGATCTCCTAGGACTGGAGTTACAATTTAGGTGCTGGGAACCGGGTCCTTTGAAAGAACAGCAAATGCTCTTAACCACTGAGCCATTTCACTAGCTCTTGATGGCAACATTTCTTTAAAAAAGGTGAATTTAATTTTAAATAAAAATGCCCACAAGATTAGAGAATTCCATTGCTGCAATTCTTTTCTGACACCTCTTGACACTGTATAGATTTGCTTATTCATGCTACCCCGCACACCTGCCTGCACACCTGCCTGCACACCTGCCTGCACACCTGCCTCACACCTGCCTGCACACCTACACAGACTAACACACTTAGAAGAAGGGCAACACTTTCCCCAGCACATGTGATGGGCTACTATGACCCTATGGGTCCAAAAGAATGTTTTAAAAATTTTATAGTGATTCAATAACCTTCCCAGAGAGATCATTTGTAAGAGAAAACTGCCCATCAAATACAGCATTTGTATGCAGAGCTCACATATTTGTATGTATATAACTCAGTATTCTTGCTTGACTTCATAATTAGGTGGCAACTTAAAACATCAGATTTTACCAACCTTTTCATTAGTTTTAGTCTATGCACCACATGCTTTATTCATAGAACAGAGGCCTCCACTTTCTCTCAAAACTGAATAGTTGTGTGTATTTTGATTCAGTTCCATGGAATGACTCTGCACTGACATAGAGGAGCCTCTTCTGTGAGTTTACCGTAGTCCAGTCACTGGCTCAGTGTTTGCTCAGCATCCTGGTTCTCTCTCTCTCACCAACACAGGCCAAAGAGGAGGAAATCCACCAGATGCGCATTGACATCGGGAAGCTAAACAAAATCAGAGAGCAGATCCATAAGAAACTGCACATGATTGAAGACCAAAAGGCAGAAGTGGAGCAGAACAAGGAGACCCTGAAGAATCAGATCCTGGGACTCGAGAGAGGTAAAACTCTGTGCTCTTACTCATCAGTGTTTCATTAGTGATTAATGCCAACTCACAAGCCAGGACTCTGTGTGCCATCAGACTAAACCATGCACTGGTAACCAGCTGACTGGAGGCGCCACTCTTCCCATTATTTCAAACTCTCTTTGCTTAACGAATTCTTCCATAGGTTCTGTTGGCACCATGTGGAGCTAACCTAAAATAGCATTCTATATTTGCCACTCTGATGTCTGTTGATAAGCTAAGGAATATGTTGAAATGAATGCCCTTGATTAATAAGATTTGGGGTTGTCTTTTGGAAGTACCCAGCACGGAGTAAGGGATGACTAATTGTCATGTGTTATTTTCTGAACAACAATATAATTTCAAATGTGGGAATACTGGTGTGGTGTGCAGAAACAGCTCTAGACCTGGAGAAAGAGCCTCCGGTATGAATTCTTACTGTATGGTGCAGGGACATGGGTGACTTCTTGGTTTCTTTGCAGGCTACTGTGTGCCATCAATTTCTGAAAGATTTGCATAAAAGTACACACACTCTTGCCTCTCTGCAAGTTAGGCAAAATCTAGATCTCCAGATATTGCTGTTAGACATGCTTGTCAAGTAGGTCTTTAGGAAGCCCAGTCGTTTTTCCTTCTGAGACAGTGGGAGGGATTCTTCACTGAGGGGTAGCTGCAGATTAGTTTGGCAGCTTCTCCATGTATCTATGGTGTAAACTGCTATGGACCCTGTGCAAACACTGGACATGTGCCTCCAGAATGCTCATGGCAGTGAAAGTTTACAACTTGAAGTCTTCTGTGGAAGAGATGACGGATGACAGAACTTTTAGAGCATGTAACTGGCCACAGTCCTATTTTTGCTTGCCATGATTGTCAGCTTTGAGATGATTTTCTCTGCCTCTCTGACTATATATATATATATATATATATATATATATATATACTATATATATGTATATATAATGTCTATAGGTGTTTTACTTAAATGTTTGTGTACCATGTGGGTGTCTGGTACCCTCAAAAGCCAGATGAGAGTATTTGATCCCCTGGACTGGAATTACAGATGGTTGTGCGCTTCCATGTGGGTTCTGGGAATTGAACCTGGGTCTTCTGGAAGAGCCACCAGGCCATCTCTCTAATCCCCCACAGATATTTTCAATCCATTGAGCATTGAATCAAATTCTTTCCCTGTTGAGCCACATTAATGAAAGCCAAATGTTCTTTTCTTTGGTTATTTCGTCTCTCTCTCTCCCTTTCTGTCTTAAAGATTTATTTATTTATTATGTATATAGTATTCTGCCTGCATGTTTGCTTGCACACCAGAAGAGGGCACCAGATCTCACTATATATGGTTGTGAGCTGCCAGGTAGTTGCTAGGAATTGAACTCAGGACCTCTGGAAGAGCAGTCAGTGCTCTTAATCTCTGAGCCATCTCTCCAGCCTTTCTTTGGTTATTTCATATTTACTGCCGATAACATCTTTTCTTAGGGACTTGTTGTTTGTTATAACAACTGGCTATATTGCCAAGGCTAGTCTTGACCTTCTGGGCTGTAGTAGCTTTCCAACTCCCAGCATTCCAAACAGCTGCTGGTGTGTCCAAGGGGGAGATGTTTCTTTTGCTGCACCTAATCAAAGTGCAGTGTTAGCCATAATGGTTAGGAGCATAGGCCCTCTCTATGTTAGGATTTCTGACAATAATATCCAAGAAATGATCTGAAAATCTACCAGAATTAATAAGAGATTTCAATAAGGTGGCAGACTATAAACTATATGTTGCTACCAATAGCATTTTGTACAGAATTCTAGCTAATTTTCTAGAATCCCCTTCCACAGTAGTAACTAAAGTAATAAAATAGCTGTGAACAAAGTTACCAACATGTCTATAAGACCTATATATAAAACAGCTACAGAATTCCACCAGGGGGCATAAAGGGAGACTTGAAAAATGGAGAGATGAAACACGTTCTAGGTGGTTACATTTCATATTTCTACCTACAGATATAATGAAAAAGATCTAAAAAGCTCAAAGACCTTTGGCAGCCATCAGGTTCAGGCTTTTAATCTCACCCTCGCTGACTCTTGGTCCTATGGCTGGCTTCATCTCTTTATCAGGACCAGAAGTTCCACATCCTTGAGCTAGAATGAAGGTCACCTGCCACTCAACTCGGAGCAGTTACACAGATACAGCTGAACATATAAAACCGTGTTGTTTTTAAAATCGTGTTGGCTTTTTCATGTTCTCCTTTGGATGGATTCTCCATTCATTATTATTTTACTTCCTGGTCATTTAGAGGTGGAGTCTTCAAAGAAGCAGGCAGAGCTGGATAAGAAGGCGATGGATGAGCTTCTCAGAGAGAGGGACATACTAAATAAGGTGAGTTCTTTACAGCAACACTGGAGAATGAATGCCTTTCTTCTACCCTGCAGTATCTGCACACAAGTTGTGTGGGGAAAGGAAACCCCGGAGCAAACAAGAATGGATTAGAATGAATAATACTGCTTAATTTCCCCCTGAACAGCTGCTTGCGTGCCACCATTGTCTGGCCTGGAATTGAAGCTGCATTATCACCGTTGAGCACAAAAGGACTCTAGAGAATTAGCATACAAGCCTGCAGGGATTTCAGGGTGTTTTGTGGATTCTGTTCTCATTGCTGCAGTGTTACTTGGCATCCTAAGTAGTTGATCAAATTTCCTTAATTTAATATCTATAATCTACAATCTGGCTAATCCAAAAATTACAGGTGTGAGTGCTAATTAAAACGTGCCTTTGAGGTGTTAGGCAAGAAAATGACTGCTTGGTGATGTAAGTCTAGCATTTTCTTCAGTCTGTCTTTTCAGGATTCTACAAACTTACACCTAGTGAGGTACCCTATTGGATTTAACCCCTCACTTTCCCTTTTCTTGTGGTGTGGGGGGTTGAGCCCAGGGTCTCACACACCCTGGCTGTAGGGTTTGGTTTTCGTCTCTCACCCTTGTCTCATTGGGTCTCTTGAGTTCATAAGTATAAAGCTGAAGGGCGGGTTGGGGGAAGCTTTTGCTTCCCCTTAAAAGCAGTTCTCTTTTTTTTCTGTCACCCTCCTTCCAGAGGGTCCCTTCCCGTGACAGATTTTTAGGATTTTCTCCTGGCAGGGTCACAGGCCAGGCTACTTCAAGATAGCAGGATAGATTCATCTCACTGAAGTACAAATGACTCCATGTGTTCTCAGAAAAAAAAAAAAAAAACCTCTTAATGGAACAGCCTACATTTTCACTTGAAACAGACTAGAGACTATCCAGGAATGACAGGTTAGATATTTCTATGGAAAACACCCAGGAAGAAAATTACTGAAATCTCTTCCCCCATAAATCTACAAACTGTCCTTTATTCTACAAACTTACATCTAATAAAATATTCTATTGGATTTAGCCACCCCTCCCACCTGTAGGGGGATCAAACTAGCTCTGACTCCATTGCAATCCTCATTAATTGTTTCATCTATACCCCACCCTTTCTCTTTCTTGTGGTGTGGAGGATCTCACACATGCAGAGCAAATGGCCTACTACTAAGCTATATCTCCAGCCCTGGATTTAGTTTTTAAATTTATTTTTATCATCACCAGCATTTAATCCCTCATCTTGTAAACAGCTAGTAGGTTTTCTGCCAATTCAACAAGGGGTTATTTTTCTTTTCTTTTTCTTTCTTTTTTTTTGGGGGGGGTTGCTTCTTTGGGTCTTTCGGGGAGGGATATGCAGTTCAATACCAACCCCCTCCCCTAGGCCATTGCCTGCATAAGACTCAGCAGGCATGCAATCAACTTTCCTGATTAATAAATTATTTCCTCTCTGATTTGAAATGCCAATCCTCATAGAAAGAAAGAATGACGTTGTTCTGACAGGCAGCACAGAGCATCTATTGTTTCTTCCAGTATGGTGTGGAAGTGGCATTTATATAAATAAACGCTAGCCCAGACTGACCACCCAGCTAATGTTTCATGAGCGTTATTCAGGCCTGGTTGCCCCTTGGGTTCCTCAGGGATTTGAGAGAAGCTGTAAAGCACCACATGGAAGTGCTGCATCCAGACAGCCCCCAGGAAGTACTAGGAACCTGGTTTGGCATTCTCAGAGTGGAAACCTTCTTTCCCCACCACACTCTTTCCTGCTAATTCATTTCTCTTTGAGTAAAGACCCTGTTTTCTAGTCCCCCTGGCAGGAAAGTGGTCATCACTAAGGACCCCCAGGTGTTCGTTGTCTTCTGAGCTGCCAAATTATGAAGGTCCAGTGCTGGGGGGTAGAGCTTAGAGGCAAAGAGGCTGCCTGGTGTGCATGAGAGACCCTGGGTTGGCTTCTCAGCACCAGGGTGCCTACTCACACACAGAGCTGCACACAAATGAAGCCCCTTTTACCGCCTCCCTCACCAGGGGCTCACCAGATACATTTGTGGCTGGTGAGGTGGGCTCCTTTGGGAAGCATGGCTGTCAAGGTGCAGAGCTGTTTGCTTCTTCCTGAGGAAGTTGGGCAGCCAGCTCCAAGTATTCCTGATGTCACCAGTGCCCTATTGCAGTTAAAAATGGTAGGTGTGGGGGATACCGGGGAAGGGTGTTTGCTGCCAAGTCTGATGGCCTGAGCTCCATCCCTGCCACTCTCATGGTGAAAGGAGAAAACTGACTCCTTGCTGTCCCCTGACCTCCACTTGTGTGCCACACAAAATAAGTAAGTGTAAAAAACGAAGATATCTGGGTCCGAGATTCAATGTACCAGATACTCTAGTCCTGGGACACAGCATCCACATTAAAAAATGTAAAATGTAGTTTTTTTTAAATTAGCATGTATTAATTATTCTTAATAATTGCTTTAGCATAATATTTTTGAAGTATTTCGATCATATTTATAAGTTATTACACTTTCAGTGCAGTCCCCTCTTCTCCTGTCTACTGTCATGTCTGTTGTCTTTGGTGGCTCAGAGAATTCTATTAAGGTTGCATCTAGGACCATGGGGAGGGGTTTTTACAGGGGCTAGATCATTGGAGAATAGCTTTTTAAAAATTAATTGTGGTAAAATACACTTAACAAAATTTATCAGTAGGATATTTTACACATTCATAATGTATCACCTCAACCATCGTTATCTGATTCTAGAACACTCTTCTTGGTGTTCTAGTTGGAAACTGCTCCCATTCTGCAGTCACTGATCATTACCGCCCCCTTCCTACTCTTGGAAATTTGAAATGTGCTTTTTGTCTCTGTGGATCTGGTGATTCTCACTGCCTGTAGACAGGGAATCACATACCGTGTGACTTTTGTATCTGGCCTCTTTCATTCAGGATGTTGTTTTCAAGTTCTGCCTACATTGCAGCACATATCAGAACTTCATTCCCACGTATGGCTGAGTAATATTTCACTCTCATGTGTTTCTGGTGTCCATCACTTGGTAGACATTGTGCTTTCATTTTCAGACTTTTGTGAAAGTGGATGCTATGAAACTTTTGATTTTTTTAAGGAAAGTTTTGTTTACTATTAACTTGGCATGGAATCATTACAAAGTTTCTTTGAGATATAGAGGGATGTTTTGTGCATCTGTTCATTGCCTTATGATCAGGGCATTTAAAGTACTGGTAGCAAGAAGGTTCATAGTATTTTCTATGTGCCTCCATTTCTTTCAGTAGTGATATAGGAGTAGATTTATTGGTCATTTGTTATTTATAGGTATTTGCATCTATCTATCTATCTATCTATCATCTATCTATGTTTCTATCATCTATCTATCCATCCATCATTTATTTATCTATTATCTATCTATCTATCATCTATCTATCCATCCATCATCTATCTATCTGTCTGTCTGTCTGTCTGTCTATCATCTTTATTATTATAAGTGGACACTTTACTTTCCCAGTGCTCTGGATACTGCTGGGCTAGCACTCTATCATTTAGCCACATCCCTAGTCTCTGCATTTTTCTTTTGAGACAGGGTCTTGTGTAGCCTAGGCTAGCCCCCCCCCCTGGAATTCACTATACAGTAGAGACTGGCTTTGAATTCGTGATCTTCCTGCCTCTGCCTCTTGTCCAGAGTGCTGGGATTACAGGTCTGTGACCCAGTGTTGGGCTCAACTCTGCATACTTAACAGGCTAGTTTTATTTTACTTTGTAGTCAAAAACCCAGTGTAGGAGATTAAGTCTGGTTGTTCAGGCTTCACGATATGAAGGCCAGAGCTGGTATGAAGGTAGATTCCAGTCCTGGCTCTGCCACTTCCCTGTGGTGTGAACTCACAGGCAGATGCCCTTCCCTTCAGCCTCCATTTCCCACTGCCAAACAGTGAACAGTGTGCAGAGTCCATTCAGGCTGTTGAAGTTTGTTAGTGCATTTAAAAGTGCCTTGTGCAAAATTCACATAACAAACTCTTTGAAACCTATAGAGCCTATGATTATTTTGAATCGTACTAAACGCAAGGCATCTAATTATTTTAGAGATGGGCGCTAGGATAAACTGAACTCCAGGTTCTCAAACACTGTGAGTAAGGCGTGTGCTTTGTTGCCATCACTTTTTAGAATATGCTTAAGGCGGTCAGTGCGACCCAGAAGCAGGTGGACCTGGTGAAGCTCCACGAGCAAGCCAAGAGGAACCTGGAGGAGGAGATCCAGAACTACAAGGCTGAGGCCCAGAAGCAGAGGAAGATCATCTTTCAACTGGAAAAGGAGCGTGACCGGTACATCAACGAGGCCAGTGACCTCACCCAGAAGGTGAGCCGCTCCACAGGCTGTGCAGGCACAGTTTGTTCAAATTGCTTGCCTATGGTTTATCAACGAGGCCAGTGACCTCACCCAGAAGGTGAGCCGCTCCACAGGCTGTGCAGGGACAGTTTGTTCAAATGCTTGCCTATGGTTTATCAACGAGGCCAGTGACCTCACCCAGAAGGTAAGCCACTCCACAGACTGTGCAGGGGTAGTTTGTTCAAATGCTTGCCTATGGTTTGCCTGCAGACGAAGGACTTGCCCTTGATCGTGTGCCAAGTTGTGGAACGGGCCATACTGCTCACTTTGTCTCTTCTCATTTCTGCCCTTTGTCCCCTCGTCTCATGGCTTCCTCCTCCTCCCTGTTGCCCGGCTATGCAGCAATCATCATTTTCCAGCATTGTGTTTCTGGCACCATGATTTCTTAACTCTCTATTCTCACCCTGCTTCTGTTCCTGATGCTCTTGTCTCTGCAGAACACAGAAGGAAGGCATGATAGGAGAAAGACATCTAATTAACCAATCTCAAGCGAGGTCACAAGTACCTCCTGTCCTCAGTGTCACATCTTCAAAGAGCATTTTATTTCAAAGTGGGGGCGAACTTACAACTCCACCATTGAGAGGAATCCACAGTTTGGGTAGCTGGGCTCTAGGTCTCTCCTTGTAAACCACTTTGAGGGAGAAGGACATAGCGACAGGAGGTTTTCAGATATTTGGACTTCTTAGCCAGTTGCCTTAGCACATTGCTGGCATCTGATAAGGCCAGGTAAACAGTGGCTGTCTGCAGGGCACTCACTCAGAAATGGACCAGAGCAGAGATTTTTAAATTGTTTGTCCTTAAGATCCCTTTCTGCCCAAGAATTTTTTCCTTGACCCTAGATACATAGGAATATAAATAAATGTGCAAACCAAACATCAACTGATAATAAATCATCAGCATATTTCCAAGCAGTTCTTTGGTATACATACAATGTTACCATTTCTTAAAGGTGAAAGCCAATTTGCATGCTAATGAGGTAGATTGTGCATGCTTATTTTTAACATTAAGACTGAAATCTTGGCTGAATATTTAATACTGTAGAACATAAAGCACCCTTAATGTTTTTCCGAGTTGATTGCTACTTTGATTTTCATAACTGTCAAAGCTGCGAATGCCACTTTACGTAAGTATGTTATACAAGATGGCAGAAATGTGTGTAAGGTCATTTTAGAAATTGTTGGAAACTCTGTCCTAATCCTAAAGCAAAATTCATGTAATGATTTTTTTTTAATGAAATTCAGGTCAGCAATTCAAAAGAGCAATTTTAAAAAACCAAACATTCTAACCATACAATTCACCGATATACTGATACTTCCATGCTGAGGAGTGATGGTGGGGAAATATTGGCAGTCTCTGTTTTCCATAATTAAACCGTTTCTAAGAGTAGAAAATTTTGTGCGCAGGGCAAAATCACTGCCATCCATGATGTGCAGCAGTCTGAGATCTGAGCTAAGGGCTCCAAGCATTGTTCACTGGTGCTGTGACTTGCACAGTGCAAAATGTGGGAGCATGCTCAGAACCCAGGCTGCAGTAAAGCTGCAAGATGTGCCACAGGTGAGCACCACCAGAAACACCTGGGGCTCCGCGTGCCTTTGATTTCCAATTATATTTTAAAGCTTTGTTTTGCCCGTGTGTGTACCATGTGCAACTCCGGTGCCTGGGGAGGCCAGAAGTGAGCCTGGGTCCGCTTGAGCTGGAGTTATGGATGGTTGTGATCCACCAATTGCCTGCTGATGGCTGAACCGGGGTCTTCTGTAGGAGCGACAGAAGCCATCGCACCAGCCACCTCTAGTTTTTGGTTATTGTGTTTTCAGAAATCTTTAAGTGTATTGTCACCCCCTCCCTGCCCCACCCCGACTTCTGCATTCAGTGATTCCCTGGTGGGTTTGTCCCACTGTTTTGGAAGAGGGTCTGGAACAGAGGCCCAGGAATGGGGTGGGAGCTAAGAGCTAAGAAGAGTTTGGGGAAAAGACTCATCTTCTTGTCTCCCCCTAGCAAAATGTTGACTTCTATAGCAGTGTGAATCTGTTTTTCTGCTTGTCAGTCAAATCCACAGTGATTTGCACAGTGCTGAGCAACACACTTGCATGTTTAAGCTTTGTTTTGTTGTTTGTTGTTTGAATGAACTCTCACAGATGATAAAGGGACAGCCACCAACACTTGGATTGCATACACAGAGGGGAACAAGGCTGGAAAACAGGAAATCAGCTGTTCCCCCAGAAAACAAAGTAAGATTAACAGGGGCAGGTTGAGGAGTACTCAGCCCTGGCTGGTCCCCAGAGGACACCGACACTTCAGAGCCGGAGCCTTGGGAGTGGTGCACACTTCACTTCTGGCAAATGTTGACTGGTTTACCTATGCTGTGAGGCTGGCTGCATTGCCGGTTCAGAGGTGGGACTGCACTGTCTAGGCTCCATGCTAGCTTTTGCTTACATCTGCCTGCCCAACAGAAAATAATCCCTGCATGTCTGGTCCAAAACAACAGACATCTGTTCTTTCTTAGGTGAATTCTCTATGAGGGTCAACCTCAGTCCTACATCGCAGGAGGATCCTGGGGGGATTCCCTGGCCTCTTGACTCAGTAGACCCCTGGGATTCTCTCCAGCTGCAGCTGGCAGGGGCAGGGGTGGGGCTTGCCTACCCGTACTGCACCCCACACACCCACACCCTGGGTAGGAGCTGGATGCACTTGAGGGAAGCCCTGTGTGGCCAGGCCGTGCAGGTACTTGAATTCAAGAAATCAGGGGTTACAACTTCTCTCTTTGAGGAGCACAGTCTCTCTCCTCTGCTTCACCTGAGCAGAGCTCACTCTGTGGCTTTTTAATATTTAATTTTCAGATTTGTTTGACACAGGATCTTACTGTGTGGTCCAGGATGGCTTTGGATTCAAGATCCTCCTGCCTCAGCTCCCAGGGTGTTGGGATTACAGATGTACATCACCATGCTCCTCCTCTGTGACTTTATCACTCTCTGTCTTGCCCCGCTGTCATGATTTCTACTGGTTTTCACATTACAGTGATGAAGAGAATCCAGGGTCTCTTTTTCATAGGAACAAGGGCGAGAATGTATTGACACAGGGATACTGGCTCCCAGGACTCACTGCCATGCTGAGAATAGAAAGAATCAGTGTTACAAGCTGGGGTGCTCTGACCTCTGGGGTGGAGTCCAAGTTCTTTGTTCTATCTGGAAGGTGATTTTGTCTCTTTGCTGTGAGACTTAGCTCAACTGCCCAGGCAAAATTCCCTTAGGGAGAGAGGTTTCCCTTCTACATCCTGGGTTTGTTGGTATCTCTGGTACTGACGAACCTCTGGCATAATTATTTGCTGGCTCATTTATTATCTCTGCGTTTTAGGGAGGTCTTGGGGGCAATGCCTTTACCTCACGCAGCATTTCTGTATTTCTGATACCCTGACACATAGTGGGCACTAAGCAAGTTTTAAATGGGTACATGGTGATGGCATAAAAGATGCTGCTATAGTTCTTATATAGGGTGTTAGGTTTTTCTTTCTTGACTTCCTTGAAAAGGAGGGATATTGGTGTTGAGATTTGCTGTCAGCTGTTTTTCACAGTTTCTAGTATTTGAAGTGGACGGAGTTATACAATCTCACCCAAGCAATTTCAGTATACATTCTTAAAATATTGTTCACCAGCTTACAGTATTTCTGTCTCTCGCTTTGTTTATCTTCCAACACATGTGGATACATAGAACACCCTCATTAGCAGAAACACAAAGCTCTCTTCCACCCCTTCTATTTGTAAGGCATTAGGAACTAACACCAGGGCTAGATAAAATGCCATGAAATGAACATTGCCATTTACTAAAGTGCATATACACACGTTCCAAAGTGTTATTGTGACATGGGAATTTCTCTTGTGCAAACCAAATGTTAGAAAAAATAGGAATGGAAAGAGTTTTATAAAATAGTGTTCTTCATGGTATAATTTAGAATAAGGAAAAATAGAAACCAGCACCCTGAAAGGTTAAACAAATTGTGTTGTGCTTATCTGATAAAATATTAAGTAGCTGTTGTAATAATTGTAGGCAAATATTAAAATGGGAAGCATGTTTATCAGATGACTAATACAGAATTATGCAAATGGTATAACTCCAGTTTCATCTGTATGCATATAAAAGGGTTGGAGGCATTTGTTTTGGGGATGGTTGCAGGGATTATAAGAAACCATGCTTTCAAAGTACTTGAAGTAAACACATCTGTTTGACAAATAATTCAGAGCTTTTCTTCAAAGTGGTATTTGAGTAGTGCTATTCTCAATTTATTAAACATCCAGACAAGAGGCTAAGATGGACAAGAATTTTAAAGCCAACTGAGGTGAACTGAAAAAAGATCTAGCCCTCCACTCATGGGTTCTTCATTTTGCTTCATCAAATAGATGACTCAAGAGGGGCTGGAAAGATGGCTCAGTGTCTCTCCCTACTAATCTCCCATGATCAGGGCCGGTGTCACTCAAGAACCTACCAGCATTACTGGGAGCATTAGCCAGGGACCTTCAGGGGAGCAGAATGAGCAGGGGAATGTCTAATATGGCAATGGTGGTGGTGAATTCCTACGATCTTCTGTCTTCGGCTGGAGGACCAGGAAAGCTGGGGTGTACATCAGTGTGCACCTGAAGGCCCGAAACCAGAGAGCTGAGGGTGGAAATCCCAGCATTGGCTTCCTTCAAAGAGCACAACAGGGCACATCTGGTGCCAGGTTTCCTCCAGTGAAAAACATAATCCATTTTGGTGAATTACCTGATATTTGCATTGGTATGAAAGGTACAGTCGTTATCAGCCAGAATGAAGGGACATAAGAAAAGTCGCAGGGGTATATGCCTTTAATCCCAGGACTTGGGAGGCAAAAGGATCTCTGTGAATTCAAAACCAGCCTTGTCTACAGAGTGAGTTCAGGACAGCAAGAACTACACAGAGAAACCCTGTCTTGAAAAACATCAAACAAAGAAACCAAAAGG